TTTCAGTATTAGAAAAACTTTGTCTGGCTTCTGAATAGCAAGTGGCAGAATAGAAACTACTCTGAGGGCTTGGGCAAAAAGTAACCTCTGAATGACAGTAACTCTTAATTGGATCGACCCCTCTTGATGGACCTACAGATTCTAATATGCTGCTACTCGAATCACAGTTGTTGGAAATATCATATGTTTCAATGGTGCAAATGTTCTTCCCGAAACAACTTTCTCCAGTTTCAGGGAGGCTTACACGACCAGATTTTCCACCGTAGTTGTAATACAACTTTGACGCATTTGGTAACTCTCCGTGTGGCACAATGTTGGATTCTAGATAAGAATGCCTTTGATTAATTACACAACTCTTGTGATGGTTGATGGGATTCGTTCCATTGTCATCAAGACCAGTAAAATAAGACGTAGAAGAAACCCCATGATTTCTAGATGCTCTTCGGGGAGGCCGGGAGGGCCGAGGAATCCAAAATGTTGAAGGAGGATCGGGATCTATCGCAGAAACTGAATTCTGAACCTCTGATAAAGGCGCAACTCCATTGACAGGAGTCGCCATCAACAAATTCTGACACACACACTCTCGCATCAAAATTCAACTAAGCATAGCGAATTACCAAGACGTACTTGTTTGAAAAGCTCCGAGACCTAGCCATTAATTACAGAATCTCCTGCAGTAAACACGTATAAGTTTTTCTCTTTTCAAAGATAATGACAGTTATGATGGCTGAATCAAAATACATCAATAAGAATGGCCGCGGAGAGAATTCAAAAAGCGCAAAAAGAAAACAACGTTACAGTATCAGCAAGAAAACGATTGCGGATGCGATCATAAGAAGATCATATGAATCTCAACCGTCACAAAGAAAATCGGCTAGCAATGGCGGACCCAAAATGGAAGAAACCGAACTTATTTTAATCGAAGTTCCAAGAAAAACCACTACGATGTGTCGTGGCAGATTCAAGTATAAACAAGTTTCTCAAGAACCCAGGTCACATTGAGAGGGGAAGAAAACAAACAAACAACACATAGACAAAGTAACGGCTTAACCCAAAAGATTAATTAAAGTACATCGAATAGTTGATGCCAACACCTTCAATTATGAAACACAAGTTCTGAGATTCTTTAGAAACAATCATCATCTTTCTATATTTAACGGCTATATTATCAAGAAGCAGCAAGAATGGCGTTTTTGGGGGGGGGGGGGGGGGCGTATAAGAAAGAACAAAGGTAGAAGGTAAGAAAAAGCACCAGATGAGTGAAGAAAGAAGAACGTCAATGCAGATGAACACGTTGGTATGCTTGAGGAAAAGCAACTCGCCGAAAGTAAAGCAACTTTCGTTGATCTTTCTGCACCTCTTAACTCTGAAGAGCCTCAAATCCGATCAAAAGCAAGAAAAAGGAGTAAGCAAATAAATCTGAAATAAGAATATATTTTTGCTTTTGGCAACTCAACCAGAAGACAAGCTCTCGTTTATCATTAGTCACCGTTGGTTTTCGTCGCAAAGGGGGCATTGTCCTTTGCCCGCGTTTTTGTTTTTCCAGATTCTGGGTTCAATATCCTTTGAAGTTTAAATCCTTTGTTTTTTTTTAATAAACACTAAATCATTTGTTTTGAACGAGTTAAAAATCCTATTTTTAAAAATTGATTTTGGTTTCAAAAATTTGCTCACATAACTTCTCTAGATAAATGAATTGAACTAATATGGTAATATATAAAGTTAGATGATTGAAAGGATAGTTTAAAACGAGTTAGTTTGAGAGAGATGTTTTTTTTAAAGGTAGTACCTATATTAACAAGTAAAATGTCAAATTTTATATTAATTAGTATGTGACCCATGCATAGCATGGGATGTGAAATCTTAAAATAATTAAATAAAGGATGATATTTAGTTAAAACATAGAATAAGTTGCCTTTAAATAAAAATGATTAACTCATAAATTTAATTTAGAGATATTACAAGACCCAAAATTTAATAATATCACAATGCATAATGACAAAAGTTATACAACGGTACTTAATGCCTCATTCAATAACTAATGTAACTCATTTCTTATTTCAAGAATTTAATTTCTATAATTTGAGTGATTCTCAAAATTATAAAACTCAATTCATTCTTACTTTTTATTTGATTGATACACTCTCACGCTTTATCTTTTTTTTCAACTTGCTCTCCCATTTGAGCCCCTATCCAAAAAGACCTAAAATCAATATTAAGACAATATGGCTTTTATCAAATAAATTAGTTTCACTTTTTGATAGAAAAGACCTAATGAGGTGAAACATTTTCTTTTAAAGCATCTTAAATGTTGGCCTCCAACGTAAGGAGAGAGACAATTTGATATGTTGTTAAAAAATTTGATACTTGAGCATTAAAGAATTTGCTTTTTTTTTTTTTGTCAGAATACAAATTTTAATTATTCCATTCTTGTTCTTAACGTATATCTCTCTACAATTCTTTCCAACAATTCTTTTCTACAATAGCCTTATTGTAGCGTAACTTTAAAGCCTATTATAGAAACAAATTGAATAGCAATAAAAATGGTTCTTACAATTAAGTAAATATTGGGTAATTACCTATAAATTATTATGTATATGGCATAGAATAAATATTTCATTGTGGAAGCTAACCTTATTTACATCATGCTTTGTCAAAATGATATTTGGGTCTCCATATATATTAATTATGTTGCTAAAAAATTAAGATCATCATGAGAAGAATTTGAATATCCCTTCTCCAAAACTTCCCAACATGTCAAACAATGTCAACAACTTGTCTACCTTATCTACATATCAAAACATGCTTGGTAGCTTTTCCACTAATCTCTCACTCTCTTCACACAAAACCATCACACACTGCCTTGTGTGCTTTATGGTTTTCATATCATCAATCATGTTCATTTGGATCCTACAATTACACTAAGCAAGGAGAGCAAGCATAGGAATGATGATACGGGCTGATTACCTTTTGGTTTTATGCCTTTAATAAAAAAATGAGTTAACATTCTAAAAACTGAAAGTGAGAGTGGTATGTGATGGTTGTATTGAAACTAAAAGTGAGGATTGCTTGAAAATTATAGATGGGAGTGGTTTTTAATAATTGAGTGGGAAAATTATGAAAATTGAAATTTTCTCCTAATCTTATAAATTCAATTTTAATGTTGGAATAAGAGTTTGGAAGACAGGATAGTAGGAAAGTCCTTGGGTGGGGGGAGTTGTGATAGGGGAGAAATTTTTAGGTATAGGAGAAATTATAACATTAAAATTTTCTTAAAGATTTTTCATGGTGGATAAGGATAGTGGGAAAGTTGTTAGGTGGGGAGAGTTGTGATAGGTGAGAAATTTTCAAGTATAGGAGAAGTTATAATGTTTGAATTTTTTTTAAAGATTTTTTATGGTGGAGACTTTTCTTATATATTTAAAAATATTAATTTAAATAACATCAAGGAAGTTATGATTAAAGAGGTTAGATTGTGAAATATGTAAAAATAGGAGAATATAAGGAAATTTAAAATATATAAATTAGATTATTTTATAAAAGATAAGTAAAATTAAGTGTAGGGGAAGTTATAATGTTCGATTTTTTTTTTTAAAAATGTTTCTTCATGGTGAAGACTTTTTTTATATGTTTCAAAAATATTAAATTTAAAAACAACATTTAGGAAGTTATGGTTAAAGTGGATAGATTGTGAAATTTTAAATTTAGAAGAAATATAAAGAAATTTTAAATATATAAATTAGATGATTTTATGTAACATAATTAAATTGTGTGTAGGGAGAGTTATAATGTGTTATTTTTTTTTAAGTTTTTTTCACGGTAGATACTTTTTTATATATTTAAAAATATTAAATTTAAATAACATTTAGAAATTATGATTATTTATTTATTTAAGAAGTTAGAAAGTTATGATTAAATAGATAGATTGAGAGATTTGAAAATACGAAAAAACATAAGAAAATTTAAAATATATAAATTAGATTGTTTTATATAACATTATTAAAATTTCATGTAAAACTTTGAAATCACAACATTTTATAAATTAAACACGTGTCAAACTAGGGTGTAACTTGTAATTCTATTATATATATATATTATATATATAAAATATAATTGAACATGTGTCAAACCTAGAATGCAGCTATCGAGGTTTTATATATATGTATATGTATAATATTCAACTTCTATTCTTGCTTGAATTTGATTTAATAATGATAACAAATAAAGAAAAAGTGTTAAAACAGTTATTATCATATTATAAGACTTGACAATATTTTCAATAAACTGTTAACTCAATTAAAAGGAAAAATATTTAAAGTCATATTAATCTTAATAATTGATAAAAAGTAGGAAAATATAATACAACTCTCCAAAATAATAAATGATAATTTAATCATTTAAATATCATAATTTTAATAAATCTCTAAGAAACTCTGTCAATAAAATTAAAAATAAAAAATTAATTTACCCTTACCAAAAATAATAAATTTTAATTACAAATTTTATTTGAAAAATTATAATTTTTATTTTATAAATCACAAAAGTTAAAAAAGAAAAATAACTTATCAAGTATAATTTATGTTGTTAAAAAAATAAACCTTAATCACAACTTATTTTAGAATAAATAATTTTATTTTATAAATCACAAGAATTTTTAAAAAATCACATTTACCAATATAATTTTATTATTAAAAAATAAGTTCTCAAATAATAAATCTCATTCACAACTTTTATTTAAAAAATTACAATTTTTATTCCAAAAATCACAAGAATTGAATACAAAATCACAACTTATTTAAAAATAAAATAAAATTTAAAATTTATTAACAAAAAACTAATAAAACTTCAATAAAATTATAATATTTCAAGATATCAAATATCATTTATATAATTCAAAAAAATTTTATCACCATTTTTTCATAAAAAATATCCAACATTTCACAGAAAAATTGCAATAAAATAAAGTATGTAATTTTTTATTTCGCATGAAAAAGTAATCATGTGATAAAATAGTTCTCATACTAACAAATTCATTCCTTGATTAATTTAGCTCCGATCAAGAATTTAACTGAGGTCCTACAAAATACAACTCCAGTAACACCCCCTAGGGTACTTGGTTGAATTTTACAATTCATAGCACTCGAATATTCCCCATACATAGAACCACAGTATTACATAGTAAAATTTACACGACAACTACATTGGCCTAGGAAAGAAATTACACTACATCTAATGTGGATGAATACTGAATACATGGTAAAAAAAAAAAATTTACACTACATCTAATGTGGATGAATACATGGTAAACAAAAAAAAATGTAGTATGAATAACAGTGGGTGGGCAGAGTCTAATAAGTATTCTGTGGATTAATCCTTCTTCCTTCCCGCCTGTAGTATGGAGTTTCATCAATAGTTCTCCTGACATAGTCCACAAAAGGTTGAGGTGTCCGTGGGGACTTGTCATTTACAACAGTAAGGCTGCTTCGATCAGGAGTACTTGGAGCTAAACTGCTCGAGGTAGCAGTGCCCCTGGGTTGCTGTGATCTCCTTGGCGTGTCCTTTAATACCCAGTACACTAGCAGTAGACCAATCCCAAGCATGATTACCCAGCTGGCTACATCAATGAGTGTCATGGATGGCGCTTTTTCTACAGGTTCATAATTCACGTCTATCTCAACTCTCTGGCCTGTAAAACAGGAAACAACATAAGCCAAACTTTACCTTCAACAGAGTTATAGCCCTTAGAAGGGCTCTGCTCAAGGGTTGCATCTAGATTCTCGGACCATGTAGACTAACCAGTAGCTGGGAGTGTAATGGAGATTTTGTCTTCAAATTTTTTGGCATTCAGCAGTTCGATCTAACACAACGAATTAGAACTGTCAGTAAACAAGAGGAGATTTTGCATACAAAAAATGATAAAATCCATTGGAACCAGTCCGGTTGTTAGTTTTTCAGGTGAAATTTTTCAGCATGGGACATTATTCAAACGAACAAGGAAAAAAAAAAGTTACATTCTTCTGTTTGCTTTTCAAACGATATTTTACCACCAGAAATTAACTTCATCAAACAAAAAACTAATTCTTATTCAATGGTTTCGAGAGCAAGCAGTGCAGGAAAAGTAGTAGTCCAGATCCTCTGCATTCACTTTCAATATTGTACCACTAGAAATTAACTTCATCCAACAAAAAGATATTCATTCTTATCAGATTGATTCTAGAGCAGGCAGTACAGGAAAATAAGTAGTCCAGATCCTCGACATTCACAAAAGTGAATACAGAGAGTTCAATCATAGTAAGATAGCAAGAAAAAAATGGTGAGTGTAGTCATAAGAAGTAGACTTCATACACGCCTACTTCCTCTTGTGTCACTCTCTACAAATGCATAAATGCATGAAGGAAGAGAATCCAATTTGTAAAATAAGTGGAAAATGGTTAATTCAGTACATAAAAAGAACGAAATTTAACAGAAAACAAGGGAATGGAAACAAATTGCGGCAATTTTAGAAACTCCAAGAATGAAATATTGCGGAGGGTTGGGTGAAGGGATGGATGAAAATCTGTCATTTTTCAACCCATAATTCATGACGAATGAAAAATGGAATATTTTAAAGCAAGATAATAAATGATCCAATGGTGGACACCGAAATATTATGGAGGTTGATTTAAAATCTGTCATTTTCCTCCAAATAAAGTTCTCGAACAAGGGTAAGGCCTCCATCAAAATTTTCCCTCAGTCCTTTATTCTCCATTATTTTCCATATAAACTTAACCTAAATAAACCTCATGCTTTAAATTGTGACAATATTTGAAGGAACGTGCTGACATTAAATTCTACTTAGTATAAAGGTAAGGCACCCTGCTGAACTCTTCAAGACATCAGTGAAATCCCACTAAGCAATTCAGCATAATGTACCAATTTCAAGTTCAAGCAATGATGATCATAATTTATGTGTGTGTGGGGTACCACCAGCATTTGAATTTAGGACCTCCAAGTTAAGCAATGATGATCACAGTTAAAAGCACTCACCTCATACTGTGCAGACCCTCCAATACCAAAATCTTCTTTACGGATGAGATTGATCATAATTAAATCCGTGTGACGCCAGTGAATTTCAACATCTATTAAAACAAATACAGAGCTTGATGTCAGATCACTGACGAAATATTGGTCACCCAATCTTCTATAGCAATTATGCTCCACGTTACGTGAACATTAAAGCAGTGTGCTAGTAGAACCTGAATGGGTTGTATCACTGTCACCGACTAAAGCACATCCATCTCAACAAACCCCCCCCTTTTTCTTTTTCAGAGAGAAGCGGTATGGTAGGTGAGGGAAGACTTGCAACTATCTTAGCCATTTAAATGAGTGAAAGGGATAAATCAAGTAACCTGACCCATGTACTTTGAAAGCTCTACCAAGGCATAACAGCTTACCAGTATTTCCCAAGATGGTCATGCTAGTTTTGTTACAGTCCGGTGTCAGATTCAGCTGCATCGAACTCTGGGGAAATGGGAAAAAAACAGAAAGAAGGAACTTTTGTATTCAAATATGGTTTTCAGAGGATCTAGTACTCTGAAATTTGACAGTTTGAAGTTTCACATAACTGCCCTATCTAAACAGCAGGCAATGGCATAGCCTAATAAATCAAACTTTTATGACATGCAGATGTGATCATTCAAACAATGGGGAAACAAAGGACTGATTTTGCCTCTCAAGTATGCCATTACCTTGCTCATCTCCATTATAGAAAATCCTCCAACAAAAAGTGCTGATGCAGATCCTGAAGCATGATTGGCTCCTTTAAGAGAAGCATAGATGGAGAGAGATATGTCTGGCCTCATGCCTTCTGACCTGGTTACTAAGCGCACCAAATGCTCTGGGGTGTAAGGGAAAAATAAGCAATAGGAGTTACCAGTATCCAAATCCAACCATGGTTTCGTGTACCTTCAGTTCGTGTATATAGAAGATGTTATTCTAAGAATGAACTCATTCAAGGAGAATCCTACATAAATAGGAGTAATGATAAAGAGATACCCAACAAATGGTGGATCTACTCTACAATCAAATGAAACTCCATGATTTGCTCTTGATGCTCCAAAGTTTTTACTGTAGGTGTCCCTGCTGCAATAAATTCAGACATAACAGTTGTTAAGGTGGGGTCATTCAAATCAAGCGTATGACTTCATTTACAATTCTCAAACCTGAGCTTCACAGAGAAATTGTATCCTTTTGTAGGGTAAGGTACATTAGTTAACATTTCTTTTGGAGCATCCACAGAAACAATATCTCCTTTCAAAACTCTAACTGTGGTTTGCAGTTTCAAAGTTGCACTTAGGAAAGACACTGCCCATAATAAAAAAGTTCACAATAAGAACATTTTATAATGCATTTAAAGAAACAAACATAGACAATAACAAATATAGGAAAGTAAATTTTCAGCATTCAGCACCTTGTGCTGAACCTTCCCCAAGTGCTTCAGCGATTCCAGATTGCTTGTCCACGGACATTACACTTCTATTTGAGGTAAACCACTGTCCAGAAACATTATCCTCTAAACCTGCGGGGGGAAAAAAAGACAGAATGACACCATACTTCCCAAGAAAATTTAGCTAATAAAAATGTGAAATTTTCAATAGCCACAACCAATATGATATAATCAATTAGTTTGCCAGACCTGAGGAATGATATTACAAACAAGTCCAAGAAACCTCATTATACTATATATACTTTAAACAAAAATTCAATCAGCCTAGGTTCAATTAAGATGTAAGTTCTTCACATTATAAAACGAAGCCATCTATAAAGAGATGAAATTTTGTAAATAAAAAATTTTCACATTATGTTTCAAGCAAGACTAATTGTGAGAAAAATGAATTAACTATAAGGGCTCAATAAAGCCTCACCTTTTACGCTAAAGTTGAGAGGACTTCCAATGTGAAGGACTGGGTTTTGAGGATTGATATGGGCACCAGTTCTAATCTGAAAAGTTCATTGATTCAAATAGTGCAATAGGGTAGAGGAAGACAAGAGACAAGCCAAAATACAAGGATTGCTGACCAGTGGAGATAAGAAATGTAATTAGCACATAGGTTTAGTACTCAGGAAGTAATAATAAATAGATTGATTCAGATTAGTATCAAACATATTTTAAACCTAAGATCCAAAGGCCACAATATTTCCAGCCGTTAAGAACCCTAGACTCTGTCTCATAAGTACCTTCTAAAGCCTTCTTACCAATTGATCCACCCCCCCCCCCAAAAAAAAAAGGAGCAACAAAATTTCATAGATGAAATGGGTTTAACAATAGAAAAACAAAGAGATTCCCACATTTTAAAGAAAAGTTCCTTCCAATCAAAAGGGCTTTCCAATAATTTTATACATCAAATAATAAAAGTAATCCATTCCCAAAGATGAGATAGTCAAAACGTCTAGCTAAAAACCCTCACTCTCCTAAGCCAAACACGCCATAATATTGGAAATTTAGTACACTGGCATAGCCTATAACCTGTAAAAAATTGCATTTACAATAACATTTTGTTTATCCAATAAAGATTTGTTTATTTAGTGGGTACATGAAATTAATAAAAAATTTCGTTCAGATTCTTTCCTTGAAAAGAGTTTTCCTTTAGGAACAAATTTATACTCAATGGTGATTACATTTAACATATCACATTCATAGCCTATTCAGCAAGAACCTAGAAGTTATCAAACCCTTCATGCATTTGGCTATTGCATTGAGTGACAATTGTTAGAGATATAGAATAAAACCATTGATGGGCCTTCTGTAAGATAAGCTTCTGGGATCAAATCGCTCTTAACATGTTAAAGAACAAAGAATAAGTCTAAACATGAGATTATGGGCAGAAGAAAGGTGCGGTGCTTACAAGCATGAAATCTGATTTTTGTGGAGCTTCACTTAGTGAAATACGCATGAGAGCTTTGCCATGCCGAATTGCCTTCAACCAAGAACCAGTCAGCACAGGATCTAAATTAGGTAACATAGCCGAGAAATGCAATTAAGTAGCAAAATCAAATACCACACGAGGATCCAGCCAATGTTCCAAAACCATGAACTCAGATACACTTTTCAACATAAAAAGCCAAAAATATAATAGTAAAATTTTATGTCCAATCAACAGGTTCTTGCACAGTTTGTTACCAAAAGAAAAAAAATTACAATCAATAAGTGGCTTATCAAGGAACCATCAACAAACCTTGAGATGGACATTTCCTTTTACATGATTTGAAAAGTTTATGCGGACAACATCAGGGTAGTTAGTATCAGCATGAAAGGAAACTGCATCATATGCTTCGTAGAAAGGATTTCCTGCTCAAAGACAATAACAACACAATGACAAGTAAGGATTCTGGCTCTCAAAAAATGACTTACATGCAATTAATCAGTATGGGAACAAACACACCTAGAGCATCATAACAGCTTGTTGGAATTTCAACTTCAGCACCAACAGCAAGGTCAATAACACGATGTGAAACCTCCTCACTGGTTATTCTGATTTGAGCCACCTAATCATAGTTAAGAAATTAGCAAAAGTGAGTTGAAACCTGATAAGATCCCCTTAAAGATTTATTCGCAAAAGAAATGATAGAAGATAAATTAAATCTCATTTTGTTATTTAGTTTTTGATTTAATATTTTGTTATATAATTTACATATTATCTAGGTGATTTTATTTTGATATTTAGTTAGATTTAGATTTTTATTCATTTATTTAGATCTTATTTAGATTTAGATTTTATTTAGTCTTTCATTATCTAGTTATCTAGATTTCATTTGTATTTACCTTTATAAATATTCTTAGCAACTTAGAAGCTAGCATATCATCATCAATAAAGTACTTTCCTAAGCCCTTTGGAGATTCTCCTAAGTGTGGCTATTGAGAAAATATAGAACGAGATTCTTGTTTCATATTATCTTAATAGAATTTTTCTTCCTGTTTCCCTTTTATCATTTGAGTGGTTTAACAAAACCAGAAAATGGAAAGACAGAAAGGAACACCAATGCACAAAAGATATGCCTTGACCAACATGTCTCCCCATGAAAAAGCCAATTATCATGTCAATAAAAAAGGATCAAAATACAAAGCAATCACAATGAGACAAATAGTAATAACTTCTTATTATGATAAAAGAAGTGAGAACAGAGAAGAGATATAAGTAGAAGATAGGTAAAGGATCTCATCCAAAAGCAATTAACCCTTGAATCAGTTCCTTAATCGATTCAATGACAAATCCGGTTTTCAGTATCTTACTCAAGAGAATATCAGTTTGAAACCATTTCATATGCTTACATAAAGTCCAGTGAGGTAAAGTTAAAAATATGAGATGTTGTGGGAGAAACTAGCATGTCCAAAGGATAGACAGTGGAGGTCAAGTTGATTAATACTCTAATGTCCCGAATTGTCTTTGTTGGATTGACATGTAGCCCACCAGCAGCACATGGAAAAGATAAAAATATCATACCTCAGCAACCTTAACACATGAAGCAATCTCTGTTCTTCCTGTGGTGCGGTCTTTCGCTTGAATGCATGCTAGATTATTACTTGCAGTTGTCTTTATTCTATCTCCCTCAATGAAAATGGAATCTTTCTGTAGCGCTTCACTTCTCTCCCCAAAATTTCTCAGTAAAGAATAGTTGATAATTCCTTGGTGACTCTGACTATCTAGTTGTGTATAACTTTCGGAAGATGAAGGCAAAAGATTTGTGGATGTATAGTGGGGAGGAAGGATCCAGGTTATCGGAAATCCCATAGCCAAGGGAAGATCAGGCACCACATTGATTGATAAAGATGAACTGTAAAACCTTGACTGCATCTTTGATCCAGAAGTTGGAAATTCACATGAGAATGACACAGCAACAGTGGACTTCCCTGCAGATCTGGAAGGGAAAGAAAATCATAAGAAACAGTGAAGCGATATTAATCAGTGGTTCTGATGTATTTCTTCTTGCACTTTTAAGTACCATATCTTCTAAAAGGCTTAAGCTATCAAAAGGAGATATGATGATGATTTTCCCCAAAAAAAACGATGACCTTGAAAATTCTTACTGAATTTCCAGCAACATGGCGGCAATTTTTAAGAAAATGTAGGCCAAAAAAGTTTCAGCCCATATGCTTAACCAGAAAAAGAAACAAACAGGAACACAACCAATGAACTTTACATTAAACCTCTAACGCACAACAAACCATTGTGATTCTGCCCATGAATCGCCATCCCTTAACTGCCAATATCCCATGTGATTATTTTGCAAAGAATCAAAAGATTCCAGCAATATATATAGTATTAGTTTATTATGCAAGCAAACACCAATGAATCTTACACAAATTTGCAGGATTAAAAGAACACTCAGGACCACATGACTTTCATTTAATTTTGACCAATCACACACAAGACCTAACAGTCAACTCCTCTAACTCTCATAACAAACTGGTGCTCTCACTAGATATGTCACCTATGTATATATAAAATCCTCAAAGACTGACACTTTCATGGAACTTTCCCTAGAAAAATCTTTTTAAAATACCATTCTATATAATTGGAAGCATGAGTTTCAGTGACCATGTGTAAAATACAATTGGTCTCCTCACAGTGCCCCTTATAAGAAAGTAATTTAGCCAACATCATCAAGACAAGTGACATAACATAATAAAACTCGTAAAGATTAATACAACCCACTACCAGCCATATAGAACAATTAGGGATAACTATCTGGTTGATAACTAGAAGCATTATATACCAACTATCATTTAGTTTAAGAAATATCAGAATGTATACCTTCCATACAAGACTTTAATAAAGCCAAGCTCAATGTCATCTGAAGAAATACCAGCTCGACTGTCTTCTGAAGCAGCCAACTGGGTGCTATACTCCTCCCCTTGAAAACTCTCTGTTCCCGTGAAACTCAGTACCTGTAGATGCATAAGACAAAGTTGTTAGACAGCCTTACACCTTCGAGAGTAATTCCTTTCTGGAGAAGACTAGTTAGCTGGAAATTTTAGGAAAGCAAGGAGTGAATGGATTACTTGCTTGAGTCATTAATCTACATGGGTGGTGTAAGAAAAGTGCGATGGCTAGGTTAAATCATTCCTGTCATCAATCAGTGGCCTGGTTTTGCATTAGCTATCCTTAGTGTCCTCCACTTAGTTCTAATGGCATAAATAGACACACATACGCACACACTCACATATTGCATTTCTTTAGGGATAATCGTGCTTATTTTTCTAATTTTAATGTGTGTTTGAGTTCTTCAATTGTATTACTTTTAAGCAAAATTGGCATTTTGTTCACGGGTGGAAATAGTTATGCACCTTTGATGAACTTGACTTACACCCCCATACCAATCTTCAGTGCATCAAATGATACAGTTTTAGTAGTACAAATAACTGCAACAACAATATTACTAACTCCCATATTCAAAGGAGAAGATAGACTTGAAGATAAAACCAAACCTTGTCATCTTCTACAGTCCAATGGTAATTTTTACAGAGCTCATAGAAAGAAAGCAGATCTCCCTGACAATAAAAAAGTGGATAATATTAAGGTTTGAAATACATGAAAGTCAAGCCAAAAAAAGGAAATAATAAATTGGTTGAGATTTTTCCATTACGCTTTTTGATGTTACCTCAAGAAAGGATGGATAAATTGGCAATTCACGGCCAACTCCAAGTTGTTCACTTTGTGAACGCAACATAACAGTAGATGGAACTCCCACTCTTAGATTGCTATGTGCTTCACAAATCACAGTATTATCATTGATAAAGACTCTGGCAAGAACTGTCTGTTGATAGTAATGATATCTTGAATTAAACAAAAAATCTTGTACCAATCAAATGCAATTAAATGCAGAATGCATGAGTGCACTGTGTCTGTGTCAAAGAAAACAAATATAAAATCTAGTTTATTTGCAACAAAAAATATGAAGAACTAGTACATGCATTCCATCCTCCACTTTCTTTTTGGATGAAGAAACAATTATTATCAAAAGAAGAACACAAGCAATTGTGAAGAAGCACCACAATACTCATAAGTATTGGGGGGGGGGGATCCCATTAACTCTTTCTAATATTCTTACAACAACAACAACAACAACAACAAGCCTTTATCCCACTAGGTGGGGTCGGCTACATGGATTGCAAGACGCCATTGTGTTCTATCATTTATTAAGCTTTTAGAAATATTATTAATTAAGAGATCACATTCAACAACTTCCAAGAGTGTTCTCTTAGGCCTTCCTCTACCTCTCTTAATCGGACTCAAAGTTATATGTTCCACTCTTCTCACTAGTGCCTCTCTTGGTCTTCTTTGTACATGCCCAAACCATCTCAACCGATTTTCTACCATTTTTTCCTCAATAGGTGCCACCCTCACTTTTTCACGTATGTGCTCATTTCGAATTTTATCTTTACGTGTATGTCCGCACATCCATCGTAACATTCTCATCTCTGCTACTCCAACTTTATGCTCTTGCTGTCCCGTTAGAGCCCAGCATTCACTACTATATAACATTGCCGGTCTGATAGCAGTACGATAAAACTTTCCTTTAAGTTTATTAGGCACCTTACGGTCACAAATAACTCCTTTAGCTTTTCTCCAATTAAACCACCCAGCTTGAATTCTATGTGAAATATCTCCACTGATTTCGCCATCATTTTGAATAATGGCTCCCAAATATCTAAACTTTTCCACTTGAGGTATAATTTGATCTCCCAATTTCACTTCCAAATTATTTTCGAATAGTCCTTTATCAAATTTACAATATAAATAACCCCCCTTGAAACAAGCATTGGCTATCCTCCATCAAGATGCCATGGAAAAATTTCCACCCTATGGGAAGTGGAAAGCAAAGAGCTTTCTTCAGAAGTTCTCACATTGAGCCCAGAAAGAGAGCAAATAATATTCTCTACATCTACTGAATGGATAGGTAAAAGTAATGTAAAAGGAAAACTACCTACAATAAAGACCCTAAAAATTGGGAAATTTGCAAGAGACAAGAAATTCAAGGATTTGGAAATAAATCTGCCTAGAAAAGGAAACAAAATTTAGAACTAATTCCCCAAAAAAAAAAAAAAAAGAACCTGACTATAAAGAGGATGAAATGTTGACACTCCACTTATCAACCAGCACCTTTAGAACATCTACTGCTCGTTTGGTAGGCACATCCACATATGTCATGCAGATAAGACTGCTTTATTTTTCTTGGATTAAGCGTTTATCTCCCTCAACATGCTTGTTTTGGCTATGATGAAGTGGGTAGTGAGCAGCAATACCTATTGCTTCCTTATTGTCACAGTACAACTTTGAAGGGTCCAAACTAGAAATTTTAAGCTCTTCCATTGAGAACTGGGTTGGAAGACCTGTCACTTTTTCCCATAAAAGACCGATCAATTTGTGGAAATATTGTATTTATTGTAAATATTCTTATCTGATTATTAGGAGTTAATAGGATTTGTTAGAATTATTAGTATTTATTCGCTTGTCTCCTAGCTTTATGTATATATAGTCTCCTATATCTTACTATTATGATAAATGGAAAATCATATTTCTCCTCCCAAAAATCTCACATGGTATTAGAGCACATTAGATCAAAACCCTAGCTAGTTTTTTGTTCTGTCGCATAGCATAGTTTTAGACTAGTAGCTGACGGACAAAACCCTAATGGAGGACGAGAGGCGCTGTTAGATCTCACCGCCGGCCAAGGAAGGACTAGAGACCTCTGATCGGCGCAACCCCAAAGTCTGGCGTCAATCGACGGCGCAAGGCGATCACACGTGCCACTCGTCCATTCTACGTCAAAGGGAGAGTCTGAGCATGTGGCAACGCATGGAGAGTTGTTTCTGGCAACGACGACCTATTCCAACAACAAGGGACCATTTCTGACCTAGTCTCAGCATTTTTCGGCTATGGGTCTTCCAAGCCTTCACTTGTTCGTTGAATGTGCGTACTGCCAGAACAAAATGGACTTAAAGAACACAAATACCCAGAAATTCCTAAGGGAAATGGGGCTTCTAATCTTAGAAGTAGTATGTCTCAGTCTTCTTGATCTGATTTATACCCCTTTTTCTCATCAACTTTCGATAATGGGTGATGAAGCTTGCAAAACTGCCATCAAAAGTTGTTGAATCTGATGCAGTATGTGTCAATCAGATTTCACAGTCGGTCTCTATCTTCTTGGCACAAAGAGGTAATTCTCTTCGAGCCTTAAAAACATCGAGGGCTGAAACATTGTAGATTATTGACTTTGGAGCATTGGATCACATGACCGATAACCACCAATTATTTTCTACATATACTCCATATACTGGAAATTTGAAAGTCAAAATTGCGGATAGGTCTCTTGCTCCTATTATGGGGAAAGAGAGTATTCGTATCTTTGAATCTATCACTCTAGAATCTGCTCTTCATGTACCAAAATTAGCATGCAATTTGTTGTCTGTTAGCCAACTAACAAAGCAATCTAAATGTTGTGCTAATTTTCTTCCAACCCATTGTGTCTTTCAGGATCTATCATTAGGTATGACCATTGGACGTGCTAAAGAGTGCGAGGGACTCTGCTTCCTTGAGAATGCTAGAGTGAGTCACCATCAAGCCACTAAAGTATGTAACTCTATATTGACCTCTAAAGATACAAATATTTTGTTATGGCATAAGAGGATGGGGCATCCTAATTTCCATTATTTATCTCGTTTGTTCCCAAACCTTTGCCCTACCAACCATGATGTCAAATGTGAAGTGTGTGAACTAGCAAACCACCAACAAATGTCATTTTCTAGAACACCGTATACACCCACCAAACCGTTTGTTACCATACATAGTGATCTATGGGGTCCATCCCGTATCCCAAACCACACCAAATCAAAATAGTGCATTACCTTCATCAATGATCATACTTGTGTTTGCTGGGTGTATCTCCTAAAAGACAAGTCTGAGACTGCATCCATATTTATCAATTTCTTTACCATGATAAACACCCAATTCAACACAAATATCCAAGTTCTACACACCGACAATGGCACTGAATATTTTAACCAGGTCTTGAATACCTTCCTTCACAAGCATGGCATTATCCATCGAAGCACTTATGCCCATACACCCCAACAAAACGGGATTGCAGAAAGAAAAAATAGACATATTCTTGAAGTAGCTAGGGCCCTCATGTTCACCCATAATGACCCAAAGTTTTATTGGGGGGATGCCATCTTTCACAGCAACCTATCTCATCAATCGAATGCCCAGTCGTATTTTGTCTTTTGACACTCCTCTTCAAAAATTGTGAAGTGTTTTCTCACATCTCATATTGAAACCAACATCCCTCGTCGTGTCTTTGGGTGCACAATCTTTGTTCACATCTATCAATCTAGTAAATTTAGACCTCGTGCTACAAAACACATATTCCTTGGTTATTCCCCTACTCAAAAGGGATACAAATGTCTTGATCCTATTTCCAAACATGTTTGTAAGCCTTGATGTTACTTTTCATGAAGATATGCCCTTTTGCCCAATTCTTCAATTCAAGGGGAGAGTATAAATCTCAAACTTGGGAACAAGAGATCAACAAAGAACAAGTGCTTACCAACAGAGTCATTACCACCTCAATTACCAGAACCATCACTCGCATCTGAACCCTTACCACCATCACCATCTCTTGTGCCAGTCATAGAAGATAATTCAACATCAGGGGGAGATATAGAGAGGCAAAAAGACAAAGACTTGTTGGTTTATTCTTGAAAGCATAAATCCAAGGAAGGAGAGCAACTTGTATTTTCAGCACCAAAGCAGTCAAAACCAGTGGTAGCTCTTGAATCACCTTAGCAAAGTCCTGAACAGGTCAGTGATCAATCTGATCTTGATTTACCCATTGCTCTCAGAAAACAACCTCGCTCTTGTACTTTACACCCAATACAGAAGCACATATCCTATAAAGCTCTTTCTCTAAGTTATCGTGCTTTTGTCACTAGTCTAGATAAAGTTGTAGTTCCCAACAATATCGAAGAAGCATTAGAAATACCAGAATGGAGAAATGTAGTCATAGAGAAAATAAGAACCCTAAAGAAGAATGAAACATGGGAGATTGTTCAAAGGCCAAGTGGCAAGAAGCTTGTAAACTACAAGTGAATTTTCACCCCAAAGTACAAGGCCGATGGTACTCTTGATAAGTTAAAAGCACGCTTGGTAGCAAGAGGGTTTATCCAGACGTATGGTATTGACTACAAAGAGACTTTTGCACTAGTGACAAAATTAAACACCATTAGAGTTCTCTTATCCATGGCAGTTAATCTAGAATGGCCACTTCATCAGTTTGACATCAAGAATGCTTTCCTAAATGGAGAACTAAAAGAAGCTTACATGACTCTACCACCAGGATTTGATAGAGGCAGAGGTGATCAAGTATGCAGGTTGAAGAAATCTCTATATGGCCTAAAGCAGTCTCCTAAGGCATGGTTTGACAGATTCTCAAAAGTCCTCAAGCGAGAAGGCTACAAGTAAGGATTGTCATACCATACAATGTTTGTTAAAGTTGAGGGAGGTAAGAGGTGCATCCTTATTACATATGTTGATGACATTATTCGTACAAGAGATTATCTTGAGGAAATCACAAGAATAAAGGTTGTTCTGGGCAAAGAATTCAAGGTAAAAGACCTTGGTGCCTTAAAACACTTCCTTGGGATGGAAGTTGTGAGGTCAAGGAAAAGTATTTTATGTATCTTAGAGGAAGTATATGCTTAATCTTCTAAAGGAAACAGGTATGTTAGGTTGTAGGCCAGCTAAAATCCCTATTGT